TTTTCTTTATGTCAATAACAATTTTATATTTAACGGGCTCAATTATATTGGTGCATAACACCGACACTCACACTGTTTTTGTTGTGAGTGCATCACTTTGATATCAGAAATTGAGCGTTTGATGTAATTAACGGTTAGAAGTCCCACATCAGTGTTGGCATGGGTAATTTCTTTATCATAGTATCAGAGTCGAGCCCATCCCAATTCTTTGTTCACCGATGTTGGACCTCCATATTATAGAGTCCATGCTCCAGTTAACTAGGTCTGGGCATGCTTGGGAGTGTGTTAGAAGTCCCACATCAAGTAGTTGGATAGGTAATTGGTCTGGGCACTTCTCCCCCGAGTTAGCTTTTGAGGATGAGTCAAGCTCAATGTCCATTTCTTATCATTAACAAAAAAAATATTTTTCTGTGGAACATGTGTCAGTTTTTATGCTTGGCAAGCTGTATTTTTAAACCTTGTATAATTTGATATATACCCTAACTTGATACTTCAACACATGGAAATGACTGATTCTATAGAGAGCATTCATGTATAGTTGCTAATTTTTGTTTCTCCATCTGAAAGATACCACTCCAGAACTTTTGAGTGAACAGAAGATTAGTAGATGAGAGGAAAAGATTTTTCTGAAGCTTATAACCTAATTCAGTTTTCTTTCTGTTATCATGTTTGAAACAGACAAGGAATGTTGTCGGGGATAGAGGATTGGAAGTGCTTGGCCAGTACTGTAAGAGGTTAAAGCGGCTCAGGATTGAGAGAGGAGCTGATGATCAGGAGATGGAGGATGAAGAAGGTGCGGTTACACACAGAGGATTGATTGATTTGGCAAAGGGATGTCTTGAACTAGAATACATGGCTGTTTATGTGTCAGATATTACAAATGAAGCTTTGGAAGTTATTGGTACATATCTGAAAAATCTGAGTGATTTTCGGCTGGTTTTGCTTGACCGAGAAGAAAGAATAACAGATCTGCCACTTGATAATGGTGTCCGTGCTTTACTAAGAGGTTGCCATAATCTTAGAAGATTTGCTCTCTATGTCCGGCCTGGGGGCCTTACTGATGTAGGTCTCAGTTATGTTGGGAAATACAGCCCAAACGTGAGATGGATGCTTCTGGGATACGTTGGGGAATCCGATCATGGCCTTCTGGAGTTCTCTAAAGGATGTCCGAGCTTGCAAAAGCTAGAAGTGAGAGGCTGCTGTTTCAGTGAACGTGCATTAGCTTTGGCTACCTTGCAGCTAAAATCGTTAAGGTACCTGTGGGTACAAGGATACAGGGCATCTTCAGCTGGTCGTGATCTCTTAGCGATGGCTCGCCCATTCTGGAATATTGAATTGATTCCTGCAAGACGAGTTGTTGCCAACGATGGAAATAATGCAGAAACTGTAGTCTCCGAGCATCCAGCCCATATACTTGCCTACTATTCCCTTGCCGGACAAAGAACAGATTTTCCAGACACTGTCAAGCCTTTGGACCCAACTTACCTTCTCGCTGAATAGGTTTGTAAATATAACTTTTCCTTGAGTGAAGTTGTTCGAGGTTTATTTGCTTCCTTTTTAGGTGTCTTGTCCATATGTATGCCTCTTCTTTTCCTCCTTTTTTTCCTTGATGAGAGTCTTTTCCACATTGATTTTGATCTTGTCTTGTAGACATGTATTCTGTAATAAATTTGCTTTCCTTGTGTTATCTGTAATCTAACATTTGGTGATCTACATTCCTAATCCCCCTGATCTCATCTTGTTCTGTGCTTTGGGTTAAACTAACATTTGGTCTTCACTTGTTTGATTTTAAGGTAGGGGTAAGGTCTACCTTCTCAGACCCCTCTTGTGGGATTACACTGGGCATGTTGTTGTTGTTTGATTTTAAGGCTAGAGATCAAAGCCTATGATAAACGATGAAACCATTTGGTAGTTCTATTTAGTTCTCTGCTTGTGCTTGTTTTTTCACAAGTGGAGATAGAATAAGTGTTCTTATTAGAAGTGTTTTACTGTTTTTTCTTCTATTTGATTGAACACTGCAGAGAGAAGGAAAATATTTGTGTCTTCTAATATGATTTTCACTAGAGTAGACTTTGTCAGCCCCTCTACCTCTCAAAGCAGTTAGGTCTACGTACACACTACTCTCTTCAGATCAATATTGTGGGACTATATTGGCTATGGTAATGTTGACTACTCTTCGTCTAGGAGGAGGTGAATCTCGGTTATGAGTGATGCCTTGTTATCTTTAAAAAACGTTAGAATTTAGAAAAAGAGTGGAAAAATTACCTAAATACACATCTTATTTCACCATAATTCTAAAATTCTCTACCATTTAATTATTTTTCAAATATCCCCTCTCGCTAATACATCCTCCCCCCCTCGTTGATACATCTTTTCCCTATATATCTGGATATCCTATCCCCTCTTGGATATATCCCTCCCTTGTGTATTCGGAGTCCAGTAATGTATTCGAAATCCATAAATTTCAAGGGATTTTTGTAATTTGAAAAAGAGTAGGGAAATAATGTAATTAGCTCTTAACCCTATGAGATTTTTGTAATTTGAAAAAGAGTAGGAAAATAATGTAATTGGTTCTTAACACTATGAGATTTTTATAATTTGTAAAAGAGTAGGAATTTTTTTTAATAGCTCTTAAAATTTAAGGATTTCAGATATATCACTCAACATCTCGATACATTGCGTTCTAGTTTTGGATACATCTCTCAACGTCTCGATACATTACATCTCGGTTTCAGATACATCATTCAATATCCCAATACATCTCGTCTCGATTTTGGATACATCACTCAATGTTTGATACATCGCATCCCATACATTATCTTTGTTGATACATGACACACTTGTCACGATATATCACTCAATGTCTCGATACATCACATCTCGATACATTACCTTTGTTGATACAAGAAACACCCGATACATTGCGTACGAGTGATATATCCGAGAATAGGAGAGAGTAGAGATTTTTGTAATTTTTTCAAATGGTAGGAAATTTTAGAGAATATGGTAAAATATGTTGTGTATTTAGGTAAATTTTCCTTAAAAGTATATCCACATGGATATGTGAGCCATTTGTGTAACAATAGAAATATATATGAGTCATTTTTATAACGAAGGCTGTCATCTCTAAATAATAAAATTGAGGGGTATATCAAACCTTTTCGCGTATATACTATTTGAGTTAGGGAGGATTCTGAAATAAGTGGAATGCAGACTCAGCAGTATTGTAAGCACCAGCCTGGAAATAGGTAAGCAAATGAACTGAGGATAAAAAATCAGACAACTTGGCTAAATTGCATGTGTTTTTCTTTTTTTATCAAATTCCCCTCATCTCAATCCAAAAAAAAAAACCAAAAATTGAGAAGAAAAAAAAGAACAAGAAAAGGAACCACCTCCCAATCAGATTTATCAAATAGTGCTAAATGACATAGCCTAAATAAGCAAAATCTGTCTCAGATAATAATTTATGTATATCGTTTTGAAAAAGTAATACATATATACTTCATATATAATATATGTATATAGAATAAACAGTAAATTTGATTAGTTAACTAGCTTTTTTACATTACCAGATTAGAAATACTACGGAATAATCCTATGGCGTATAGAAATTATGTTTTATCAATGCACAAAAGCTGAAACTCTTTAAAAAATAAAAGAAAATACTTGGTGCATGCATGCACAAATGAGACAAGGTTGTTAGTAGTCCTACATCGTTTGTAGAATGAACAATTGGTCTCTTTATATAATCATGCAATTTTAATTTCATGAACTAATTTTTGAAATTGAATTAAACGCAAAGATAGTTTTCTTAACAAAGGTTCACTTTTCCTTTATGTAAAAGGAAAAAAATACTATGCACTAAGCCACTAATGTAAAAGTGGTACACCTATTGGCTATGTATGAAATCCTTGGGAGTTGGGCCCAAGTAATCGTCAGTACACTAGTTCACTAATGGAATGCAAAAGAGACATCATCTATTCTTGATAAGATGAAACAATACAACAATAATACAAACAGTTTAATTCCACAAGTGGAATCTGAAGAGGGTAGTGTATGCATCCTTACCTCTATTTCGTAAAAGTGGAGAGACTGTTTCCGATAGATCCTTATCAAAAATCAAGTACTCCCTCCGTCTCATTTTATATGTCATCTTTTTACTTTGCACTTGCATTAAGAAATGATGTAATTTTACCCTTATAATTTTTTTGAAACTCAAGTTTTCAATCAATGAATACGAATTAATTTATTTTGATTAATTAGTTTAACCAATGAACATGAATCATTTACTTAACTTTTCTAAGTTGGTCAAATGTATGTTTTCAATGCTAATAACTCACAAGGGTAAAAAAGGAACAATATGCTAATTTATGCATTGATTTTATGAAATGACAAGTACTCCCTCCGTCCCTTTTTAGTTGTCCACTTTAGAAATGACACACAGATTAAGGCAACAATGATTAGCACAGTGAAGTTACAATTTTACCCTTATGACAACTTTTCACTTCAAAATTACAATCACTTAATTGAATTAAAGTGAAATAAATTGGAGGGAAACAACATACACTTTTACAATTTTCAAGAAGTGTAAATAAGGGTATAATAGGAAAAAATTTGTTGTCCTTTCTTGATTTGTCAAAATGGACAACTAAATAGGGACAACTAAAAAAGGAAATATGGACAAGTAAATAGGGACGGAGGGAGTATTATGGACCAACTATTTATAGAAACGGATGACATATAAAATGGCACGGAGGGAGTATGTTAAAGTAATTCCCTCTACCTCGTGAAGATATAAAAATTGATTCCGATAGACCCTTAACAAAAATCAAGTATGTTAAAGTAAATATAGTAGCAAAGAAGGTATGATGAAAACAATTAAAAAGAGAACAATATCAACACTAAATAATATGATGGGATGAAAGAAGAGATGATTTGATTGAAGATTTAAATGTGTGAAGTTTGAAAGCACAACAAAGAAACTAGGCACAGTACCAAACTAATTAAACTTTGATTTACATTAATACACCAAGATTGAAAACAAAATCCAAGATTGACATATTTTTTTTCAAATCTCATTTGATCAACGATGGAGTTGCGAATAACAACATTAGTTCAACATCCTTCAACGAACGATAGAGGGCTCTGACCTGACCACAATCAATCAGTCTATTGTTCTGGTTCTATAGAGTTGAGTTGTCACACAAATTGACCAAATGCCATCAGGTCTTCATCGATTGAGTTGTTCCAACATCCGATTAGTACGTCTGTTGTGCTTGTTGACCTATGCAATGAGGACATATACAACCTCTCTTCACACATCGATTTCTTGTTATTGTTGTTGTTGTTGAGAAACTCATCGTTTGTGAGATGGACGGTGGTGATGTCGTGGATGCTAGGTCTCTTCCTCTCTTTCTCCCTTGAAAGTTGCCTCAAGTAGTACTTCTGAGCATGACTAGCCACTTGTGTTGGAGTTTTAGAGATCACGAAATTCCTCGATATGTTTCTCCAATCTCCTTTTCCATATTTCTCTAACCCCATTAAAAATCGCCTATAATGCAACAACAACACTAATGTTAACATCAAGACCAAGTCAGAGGATAAATAGAAAATGTTGTGTGTTGATCACTTATGTTGCTCCGATTCTTCCAAAATGTAAACACGTGCATGTCAGATCCTTCAAAAGTATTCTTTACAAGTGTGGCATCATTTCTAAGAGTTCGAGCAACATAGCTGATCACTACTAATTAAGTTCATTGAACAAACATTAAAATAAAAAAACAATACTTATGAATTGAATGAACCTGTGTTCTTCCTCTGTCCATGGTACACCTTTCTTTCTTTTGTGATCATAAGACTTGCCTCTCTTACTAAACGTTTGAATCTTACAATGATCAACAAATTCCAACGCAAAAGAAGACGTGAAACCACGCCTCGTATTTGGGGGTAATCCAGCTTCTATGTCACTAACATCTGCAACCAATTCTTTATACTGCATTATCACATCAAGAACTGATTTCCCAGGGATGATTTCTGCTACTTTAGACCATCGATTTGGTGTAGTCTCGTCGTATATTGCCAGAGCACTTTCAAATCTCTTGTTCTCTTCTTTAGTCCATTCTGTATTACTCTTACTCTGTTGCATAATCCAATTTGAATTTGGTACAAAAGAAGTTGGATATAAAGTTTCCATATCCAAATCAAGAACCCTCAATTTTCTTGAAAATTAAAAGACTATAATCTTCCTGTCAATTTTACAATGATTTAGTGGATTTTCATAAAGGAGAAATTTAAAACCTAAGCAAAAATTAAGTAAAATATTTATTTTTTTCTCACCCCGAGCAGGGAAAGGAAATTACAAAATGGGAAATCGAACTCTCATCAACAAGGTAAAAGTTCAAAGAGTCAACCAACTGAACTGCTAAAGTTCAGATAGTCAACCAACTGAACTGCTAAAGTTCAAATAGTCAACCAACTGAACTACTAAAGTTCAGATAGTCAACCAACTGAGCTACTAAGATCTCTAGTAAAAGATCACTTCGTTCTTGATAGTTTTACTTACACGGTGGATAAGAACATACTCTAGATCATAATCATATTAAGGTAGCCGTCAACCAACCGAGCTACTAAGATTTCTAGATTACTTCGTTCTGGATAGTTAGTTACTTACTTGGTGGATAGGAACATACTCTGGATCAGAATCGAGAGGAGTACTTCTTGGTCAATTCTACAAACCTACAAACAGCAAGAGAAGAGAAAAAAGATTACAAATTAAGCAAAAATAACACAGATCAAACAAAAAGGTTCCAATTATTGGCCAAATTAGTAAGAAAAATTTCCAAGAAATGAAGATAAAAACAAGTATCAATTTTTCTTTTTTAATTAAAAAAAAAAAACAGGGAAAACAAACCTTAACTGAACAATAGACAATGATTGAATGAATTAAGACCATATAGATGACTGAATACAATAATAACATACAAGTCGAGTCTGATGATGATAGTGTTTACGAAGACCTTATCCCTCAAGAGTCAAGACAGAAAGACTATTTCCGATAAACTCTCCAAAATGATCTGACTTAAAATCATCATCATAAAAAGAAAGTTCTATCCGTTTAATTTTCCAATCTTTGTAGATGTATAGGAGTATATTTTGTTTTTTAGGAAGAAAAGGAGAGTTGAGCAAATATATATAATAAAAAAAAGACAACAGGTGACACCGAGTTGTCAATTAATGATTGGATAAGAATTTCTTTTATTTAATTAATACATGTTACATGTTTGTGTGCAATTATTCTATTTGTTGGTCTTTAAGGATTTGTGTGACTGCTACTAAAGTGTGGTCTAAAAAATCACACTTCACTTTTTTTTTAACTTCGAATTTACACGTTGCAAGATTCATTTTTGGAGACTATACAATATTCTCAATTACATATTCAAAAATTCGAAACTTTAATTAAGATGAAAGAATCTCAATCGTCTTTTAACAACCCATGTTGATTATCCTAATCACTTTTATGTTAATGAAAAGCATTACAAAAATAATCCTTTTTTTTTTCTTTCTTTATGGGGACAGCATTTTTTTAATTTCTTTTATGGCTAGTAGAAAAAGTTCTTATCTCAAATGGTATCGCTAATTGAAGAAATGAATGGGACTATCTTACGAATATCTTACGAATAACTAGAATGTAAGTTTTATGCATTGATTATATAATTTGAAATTTTACGAGGCTGAAAATAATATATATACATATATTTTTTTATTTGATATTATTTAATATCTTGTTTGATTTATACATGTATAGAGGATATAATTAATAATATAGCTACTTATAATATGAATAAGTATGGGTAAATACATAATTGTCCTTGAATACATAAAAAAAAGCAACTTTCACATATAGCAAACATAAAAATCATATTTGTATCATGTTATAGCTATAGTTTGCATAATTGCGCTCCATAACAAATTTTATGTTTGCTATGAAGCTTTTGATTTGTATAATTCACTACAGACATCCAATTTTATACAAATTGTTCAGTTTTGTATATATTCATTTATACATTGTAATTTGGATAATAAGATCTGTATTTGTATAATTATAAGTGTATAAGACGAAAATATATGTATTGTATTTGTATATACACTTTTCTCTCGCGTTATACAAACACAAACACATTTTATACCGAAATGTATAAAATGGCTAATTGTATACCGAATCAGATGGCAAAAAAAGGGATGTTTGCTGCGAATTACAATTAAAATAAACTATGGCTATAACATTTAATTTGAATTAATAGTTTGTCATTTCATACAATTTTCCCTAAAAAAATAGTGACTAAGAAATACTCTCGGTAATTGATATGACTAATTTCAATATTATTAATACACCATATTAAATACTATTCTTACTCACTTTACCAAACAATACATAAATTACTTACTTTCAATAACATAACTATTCATAATGAATATGATATGATAAACCACAAAAAGTAAAGCAAATAATTTGTTAAAGAAAAAAAGAAAACGCATCAAAAAAAAAAGGAAGATCATTTCACACCGTACTAGGGGAAATTTAATACTACTTTCTTTTGTAGAAAAGGCCTATGTTTTAAAAAGATTTCATCAAATAAACATGAATATATTTGATCCTAATTATTAATGGAGGTTAAATTCAGACTATTTCATAATATTTTTTCTAATTTTATTATACCATCAAATTAAGTTACTTGCAATAATAAATAACCGTTGTCCACTCATAACAAACACAATATGAAAACTTGAAAAATAAATTTAATATAACATATTAAAATTACACAAATAGTTTAAAGGTTTTTTTACGAACACATATATATAACTTAAACTCATAATATTTTCGAGCAAAAGTCTTAATCCAAAAAACATATTTAATTTTTAAAGACTCCCATTATACTTTTAATCTTAACAAAAATTTAAGAAAAAGGAAGTACACTTCTTCTTTTTTTCATACATAAAGGAGGGATGTCTTTGATTGTTAAAACTTGGCTTAAGTCATCAGCGGCTCCTTAAAGTTGTCTGCATAATTCACTTAGACACCTCAACTAAGACTAGTACCTATTGAACACTTTTACCAATATAAAAATTGTTCCTATTAGGCATTTTTTTATAATCAGCAAAATATATGAAGAGTGTGTGATACACTTGCGGTGACGTGGCAAAATGGCTAATTAAAAAATAACATGTGGCACTGGGCCCCGAAATTATAAAAAAAATAATTTTGTTTAAAATTATTTCAAACGCTTTTTATATCTAATTTTTTTTAAAAGAAAAAGAAAAAAAATGAAAATGTCAACCTATTCTACCCACCCCACCCCTACCCACCCACCTTTCATCTTCATCTTCTTCCCAAAACACATTCTTTCTCAAATCACAAAACCTAATTCTTTTCAAATAACTTTCAGATTAACTTTTAAAAAATATATATATACATTTTCATACTAAGAGTGAAGAAGAAAGAAAATTTTGCCGGCGGTTATTCATTTCTACATCGATGACAAAATGAAATTGATAGCTCAAAAATTAATTCTTTCAATTTTTTGAATATCATTTTTGATAAATTTAATGGGTTTATATATGAATTTGAGTAAAAATCTTTGTTCGAAAATTTTGATAAACAAATATCGGCTAACTTTTTTTATATGTAACAATCATTTATCTTCTTTCTTCTTCTTCTTCATATTTGTTCCTTATTTTTATGAGATTTGAAATAAATCATACTTCTTTCAAATCTGAATCTTCATAGTTGATTTTCATTTATCTTCATATTTGAAAGAAATAATATTATTTTTTTATAAAAAAGAAAGAAAAACAATGTTGGAGCTAAAATGAAGAATGTTTTGCAAACTAAAGTATGAAGAGGATGATAGGTAGGGAGTGGGGTATTTTTCTTTTTTTGAAAAAAGTGTAAATGAAAGAAGAAAAATGTTTTTAATTTAATCATAATGCCAAGTGTCAATAAAAGAAGAAAAAATGTTAAAAAAATTCAAAAAGACACTATTTTGAATCTTTTCACGCGTTTCAGGGAAGTGCAAAACACATTTTTTGCCATATCAGTGTTTTGTGTTTAATAGGTACATGTTTTGAACAATTTAGGTGCTCAATAGGTACAAGTCTTAGTTGAGGTGTCTAAGTGAATTATGCGGACAACTTTAAGGGGCGGTCGATGACTTAAGCCTTAAAACTTTATGATGCAAGTACCATTTCAATGGGAAAGCTCTATGTTTTCTGCATCCCTATATAATTTTTTATTTATTTGTCTAGTATACTAAAAATAAATATATATATTTATTTAATTTTAAAAATTATGAAATAATTTATCATTTCATACCTATTTTATCAAGAGTTGGGGACTTCAAGGAATTGTGGCTTCGGGGCGATTTTTCAGAACAAACTTTACGAGGCCTTGCGTTAGTTGTTGGGGGAGAAGTATGTATAGTCTCACCATGACCCATGATATTTTTGGGTTTTTAGGAGTCATTTTATAGAAATAAGGCAAATTTTACAATTTTTCATGTGTGTTAGCTCATAAATATTTGGTGAAAGGGCTTTTGGGAGATTTTTTTGAAAAAAGTTTATGAGACCATCCGACACGAGTTGGTAGAGCAGTACGTATAGCCTCACCATGATCATCGACATTTTTTTTCAATTTCTTATGTATGGTAGCCCATGAATTTATGGTGAAATATCTTTCGGACAATCATTTTGAAAAAAAACTTTATGAGACTCTCTGTAAGGAGTTGGGAGAGCAATATGTATAGCATCACCATGATCCACGACAGTTTTAGGCATTTAGGAGTCATTCTATAGGAATTGAACGATTTTTTCAAATTTTCGTGTGTTTTAGCTCATGAATATTTGGTGAAATGACTTTCGGGCGATTTTTAAAAAAAAACTTTACAAGACCCTTCGTAAGTAGTTTGGGGAGCTATACGTATAGCCTTACCATGATCCGCAATATTTTTGGGCATTTAGGAGTCATTTTATAGGAATTCGGTGTTTTTTCAATCTTCATGTGTTGCCTATGAATATTTGGTGAAAAGGCTTCTAGAAGATTTTTTCGAAAAAACTTTACGAGACCGTCTGTAAGGATTTTGGGGAGAAGTATGTACAGCCTCACCATGATCTACAAAATTTTTGGTATTTATGAGTCATTTTATAGGAATTAGGTGATTTTTTCAATTTTTTGTGTGTGTTAACCTATGAATATTTGGTGAAAATGGCTTTCGAAAGATTTTTTTGTAAAAACTTTACGAGACCCTCCGTAATGAGTTGGGGGAGCAATATGTATAGCCTCACCATGATCTGCGACGTTTGTGTACATTTAAGAGTCATTTTATAGGATTCGTGCGATTTTTTTAAAATTTTCAAATTTCATGTGTGATAGCCCAAGATTATTTGATGAAATGACTTCCGGCCGTTTCAAAAAAAAAAAAAAGAACTTAAAAATATGTTTGATTGATTTCGAATTTAGATAATTTCTAATATCTAAAGTTCATATAATAAAATCATCATTTTATTTGTTGCTCTTTAAGGAGTGTAATTAATAATATATGGACAAGTAAAATGGACGGAGGGAGTATTACATTTGACCAAATAAATTATAAAGGAGAAATCTTCTTATCAACGTTTGTATGAATTTTTCCCGCTCTCAAAATGTTTCTAAAGTTAATATAATAAAATCATTATTTTATTTGTTGCTCTTTAAGGAGCATACTTAATAATATATGGATAAGTAAAATGGACGGAGGGAGTATTATATTTCACCAAATAAATTATAAAGGAGAAATTTTCTTATCAACATTTGTATGAATTTTACCTGCTCTCAAAATGTTTGTATGCTTGTAAGTACTCTCCCAAATCTTAAAAATAGTGCTCGAAGGGTGGAGTTAGAAGCTCAGATACAAATTTGTTTAAAAGAAATAATTTTTGCGCAAACGACGCATTTCTATTGATAAATTTGCTATTAAATATGTCCTAATATTAAAATTATACTTCAGCTAAAATCAGAACTCATAAAATTTGTTATTAAATTTAGTTTTCATAGTCATTTTACTCCAATCAATTAGATATTAAATTATTTATATATATTTATGTAAAAGAGTACGTAACACATTTAAAAATACGAAACAAGGAAAACAAAAGCGCCTGTAGCTCAGTGGATAGAGCGTCTGTTTCCTAAGCAGAAAGTCGTAGGTTCGACCCCTACCTGGCGCGACTATATATATCCTTTTTTCCCCACTTCACACCGAGACAATTTTATGATTTTCGAGTATAATGAACTTACAGATGACATCGAGACAACTTTATGATTGTCAAAACCGTGAACTTATGCGTCACACCGAGACAACTTCATGATTTCCGAGACCCACCATATGGAGACAACTTTATGATTTTCGAGTATAATGAACTTATAGGTCACATCGAGACAACTTTATGATTGTTGAAACCGTAAACTTATACGTCACAGTTCACACCGAGACAATTTTATGATTTCCGAGGCCCAAAAAACTATGAACTTATAGGTCATATGGAGACAACTTTATGATTTCCAAGGCCCACCGAGACAAAACTGAGTTTGAGTATAATGAACTTATACATCACATCGAGACAACTTTATGATTGTTCCGAGGCACAGTGAGACAACTTTAGATTAGAATAGAAATGAAGCATAATCAGACAAGTTGTAATACATAAATTTATCTTACATAATACTACTACAACTTATTTGTCTTTTTTTATCTTTTATGTCTGAAATCCAGCATATCACCAGTTAATAGAAACAACAATATACAAAAAATGTTCCAATTCCCATTTCTTAACAAGACCTTCTTGTCTTTAACCTATCTCCCTTTTATAACCTGATGGAACAGCATTTTCGCGATGCTCTAGAAAGAAAGCGCGAAAAAAACAAACAAACATTATGATTGCTGCATTCTCAAGCCTCAAACAGCAGCACCAACTGGTGCACCAGCCTTAAGCCTTGATGATCCGTAGAGTGTTTCCTCAAATCGGATAATCTCATTCTTGGAACCATAAGCAACTTGAGTCCGGTCATCAAGATTAACGATCACTTTGTCAAGGACGGATTGTTTCCCATCGCTGCTGTAACCTCCAGCTTTTTCGATCAAGAATCCTAATGGTGCCACTTCAAAGAGCAATCTAAGTTTCGCCTTGGCTGTTGGAGATGTCACATTTGTGAATATACCTTTCTCCTTTACAATGATCTGTGAAAAATCGAGAAGGGAATTCAACAACTTATATATATATATATATGTAAAAAGAATCATTAGTATAATGTTCAATGCCCCGTTGCACCACTCTGCCTCTGCCCCTGATCACATACCTGGTTTACATCAGGCACCATTCCTCCGGTGTATCTCAAGGTGTATTTCTCCTTCACATAGTAATCGATCAGCTGTCATCAAGAATCAAGAGTCAGAACGCGGAATTTCATTTTAGTAGCAACTTAGAAAGCATATGAAAAGGGAACAACAAGAGAAAAGGTATAGGAAATGCAATTTGTTCGAGTACAGATATCAGATATTGAAGACAAAATACGAGAAATGATAGTAAACCTTGGCGTAATCAGGATTGTCAAATGTAGCTCTCAAATTTCCAGGGGAGAACATTTTTCCTTCTCCGATTTCTGTTGTATCCTTAACATGTTGCCATTTTCCTACGAACAAAAAGGAACATAGATATTGAGACAACTCGTAGCAAGAAAAGTCTAAATTATTACAAATCAATGTATGTCAAAACCTTCATCAAGGAGGAGGAATTCATGGGTCCCAGGAGCATCTTTAAGAGCAAGAACATATGTAGTTCGTGGTCCAAATATCCCCATAGCTGCTGCAACTTGCTCTCTTCCTGTGATCCCGGTTAACTTATCCCCGGGCCATACACCAAAGATGGTTCCAACTGTGAAGTTCGTGTCCACGATACTGGAACCATCAAGTGGATCAAAAGCAACACTAAATCCTCCTGTTTGATACAAATAGAATTCATCAGTGTCTTTTATACCCTTAGGTTTCTATAAGGAAAATTAACCAGATGTTAGGACATGAATTGAGTGATATTTGAAGTTAAAGTTGAAAAATGGTATTTCGAAGTTGATATTGTGTTTGGACATGCATTTTACTTGAAAAAATAGGTGACGTCTTTGAAAAATTCTAGTGTATAACCAAACAAGTACCTTCAGCAGGGCCCCCCATGTCTTGGAGCTCAGGAACTTCCTCAGAACAAGCATATTTGCAAAAGTGTGAATATGTCAAGGCCTAAACATCAACAATCAAAAGAACAAGTTTTTGTCAAACTTAGATAAGAATTACATCCACTATTTCAATTTGTTTGTCTGGTTTTGCCTTGACACGAGAGAGTAAAGAAATTTTTTGAATCTGTGATTTTAAATTAAAGATACGTTGAATGTACCAAAATGTCTCCTTTAATCCAGTGGTTTTAAACATGTCAGGTGAAAAGTTAGAAGTAAAAAGTTGTCAAAAAAGAGAAGAGACATTCTTTTTTGAACGGACTAGAAAGTAGAAAGGAAAATAAGACAAACAAATTGAAACAGAGGGAGTAACGTACATTGTAGAGAATCAGTTTTATCAAGTAGCAATAGGCATAAGCTACTTCTGTCATATGGGGTGGAGCTATATGTACTAAAGGTGGTTCGATTGAAATCCCTTTATCGATAAATTATACTTTGTAAGTAAAGTAAAAAACAATCTTTTAGTATATATATAAACAGTTGAATCCCCTCAACACAAAGAAGCTTCAAGTATAATGTCAAAGGTGGTTCAAAAATTGTTTTTGCTCACACGTTGTGAGTGTGTATACATGCATTTTTTTTAAAAAAAATCCTGGCTCCGCCACTCTATAGTTTTGTACCTCAAAGAGAAGCTTATCGGCAAGCATATCGACAGCAAGCTGTTCATCACCAAAAGAATTGACACAAGCAGTTCCTCCACAAGAAGCTGTTCTGACTTTGAAGGCAATTGTTCTCAATGCTTCTCCCATACACATCATTAACCTGATTAACCCCTTATCTGAGGTTGATTTTGAAAGAAATTCTTCCTATAAATACACCAATTAACTAGTCATTTTCATTAATTTCTTGTATAACAATTACATTAAATAAGATTAATCAACAAACATGATCAAACTTACCAAGCTATCACCAATCTCACATTTTGTCACCAAGGAAGAATTTTTTGTCCTAGACTCCTTATGTGATGATTTAGGCGCAACGCGCAATGATTCCCCAAATAATGAGCTTGATTTCAGACTCTGCAAGAATCTCATGTCATACTTAAGTCAGAAGCAAATTCAGGATTTTAAATTTATGAGTTCTGGATCCTTGAAAAGAATACTTACTTGGTACTGAATAAATTATTTATACTTTTAAACACAAGTATAAGGTCTAGGCCAAAGCTACTAGGTTCTGCCGAATCTTATAGCTCATCTATTTATGTTCTATGTCAAATACATGCTTTGCATAGAAGTACAAGTTTATGATATATATCCATGATTTTTTTTAAAAAAAATTATCATAGTTTCCTAAAGTTATTTAATTAGTATAGAAAAATGAAGAAAATCAAATGGAAATTAATTAAGACATACCCTTGAGTTGAATGAAGGGGAAATGGATCTTGAAGTTGCTAGTGAAGTTGAATATTGTTGAGAAGAAACATTTGGGAGAAGAGATGTAGCTCTTGCACAACATGTGACACTAGTCTCCATTTTGTGTGTTAAAATTAAGACTTTTGAGAGTGGAGAGGGGAAAATATCCTACAATGAAGAAATATAAAAGAGAGAAATTTTTTTTATCTCAAAGTTGTTGCTATAGTTGAGTTAGTTCTAGCCTCTAACTTTTTTGGGGCATGGGGTCTAACGGGGTGGAGGTGGGGTAGTAGATAAGTTGTTAATGACATGTTGCCACATGGATGATATTTGTATAGATAGGCTGATATAAGGGGGTATGGGTGAGATTAATGACCATCACTCATAATTTTGTGACTCAAATATCTTGTTACTAAAGAGATATGGTTTCTATTGAGTAATGACCTTTCTTCATTTTGTTTCTTTTTGTCAACTTGACACAACCCTATCATGCTTTTTTTCTTTTTTGTTTGGAAGATCGTAGTGTTTGGATCAGCTTCGTTTTGTGTTATTAGAGTTGAGAGTTTTTAATTAAAGTTAGTTTTTTGTGTAGCATCTATTCAAGCTACTACAATCAAACTTTTATATTATATTGTTCTTTGTTCGGATAATTTTTTATTGTGATAACAAAATGTTATTATAAAGAATAATATAACATAATATGAAAATTCAAGTTCAAAGAAACATTGGGTCGTTTATAGCTAAATATATAGAAAATGATTGTTATTGAGATGTCTGACTATATATGTGTGACTATTAAATTGTATTTATATTTTACTATATTGTTTTGATAAACACAATATTTGAATAGATTATATCATTTTTCGTCATTACATAATATCATACATCAACAATTTAAAGGTTAAGCATACAAAAAAGGTTGGGTCGCAAAAGCCCACTGAGGATTGCAAATTTGATATGAGGAACACCAGTGCCGACTCAACAACATTGGGGGCCTAAAGCGAAACTTAAGATATGGTCCTAATATTATATTTTTTTCATCATATATACTTTTATTTAAAATAAACTTTTCTAGCTATTTTAGAAGTGAAGTTTTTAAGTAGTGTTTTATAATCAATTTGTATTAATAATTCCTTTTCAAATGAAAATATAGCTAATTAATTCAATATCTCTTGAGACACTGTTGATCTTAGAGAAAATTTTAATCAATTTTAATTTCGAAAAATAAAATTTCGGCTGAGGCAATGGTTAAATGAACTCTTAACATTATCCTATAAGCAATAAGTCTATTTGGAAAAGAATCAAGTCTTTTTATTTGATTGAGTATTTTCATTGGATCATTATCTTCTACTTATATTATTTCTCTTAACACTTTTAATTCAAAAAATAAATCTAAACCATCAATATCAAAATAACTATTATGTGTTAAAGAAAGTTAAGGTTAAGACAATATTTTTAAAAAATTCTCATTATCTAGTGATCTCAATATTTTACCACTAAATAAGAAATCAAAAATATTTTTATATGCTTCAATTGATTCAAATCTATTTTGAAGTGAAATTGGTTGATCTACTCTACATATGTAAAGTAATCAAATCTAAAAGATTCTTCATAGGACTTTGTGATTTCATTATCCATATTTTCATCAAATTGTTTCTTACGAAATTCAGGTTTATATTCATCTCAAATGCAATTTTCTTAATAGAAATCATAGCACTCATAGTACATATAATTATTATTTTTAAAATGGGACCCCCCAAAAATATGGGGCCCCAAGCGATAGCTTTAGTGGCTTAGGGGTTAAGACGGCTCTGAGGAACACCTACTCAATCTAAGCACAGGTTTGTTATTTTGTTGGCTGTGCAAAGAAGGTTGTTGACCAAGAATAGACATTTGAGTGACACAGACTTAGACTTCTACTAAACATACCCTGCGGTACTTGATAATTCACTCACGAATCGTTCACGATGTGGCGGATCATCACATGACGCTACAAATTCAAGTGGATACTGAAATTTGTTCCCTATGTGACAACCAAGTTGTAAAGACTCGTCAACATTTATTTTTTGATTGTGAATATTGGGCCAAGATGGTCCAATTGGCTTGAATACTTAATCAAGATTTCATAACAAAAAGGCCCAAAGGTGTAGGTAATCTTTATATAATTACCCCAAAACAAAAAAAGGAAAAACTACTAAACACCACATACTTTACTACCATATATACATATTTTATCTCTAGTTTAAAAAAATTACACATAATACCACTTTGAATAATTATACCATATATTCTAAAAAGTTAAAATACTCAAATCCCTTAAATATGACATTACATAATTATCTTAAAATATAATCTCCTTAATTAGTGGGATGTTAACAATTCAAACTTTACTTTCTCTCACATTAAAGCAACTGTTTCCCTCCCCATCCCATTACATATATGTATCTCACCCCACCCCCACGTAATTCACATAAACCCACATTCTCCACTTCTTCTTCAACCATCTCAATAGTTTGCATGTACTAAATCAAAAATTAATCTTGATGATCAGCAATATATAAAGATGTAAGATTTTGTTTGATTTTTTGCTAATATTCGAATGTATCTTTGGATTTCAGCACTTTCATCTGATTTCTGAGATACATGCTTAAATATTTAAGATACATCATATTTAACTCAACAATATTATGAATTATCTATATAAAGATGCACACATGTGAAAGCGAGATACATGCTTAATCAAATTTACATGCTATACAAATCATTAATATTAAACATTACTCTTACTTTTTAAGAATGATGTATACATTATTGAGAGTCATACATTATTTATCCGAGATACTCACTATAAAATTAAGATACACGATAAAAACACATTCAACTGTACAACTAATTTCATTTTTATCATTTTTTTCCTGAAATTCATGATTATCTCCATAGATACATATCAACAAACTTCCAAGATACATCCAACAAAAAAACGAATCTGACTAATATCTTCATGTACCATCTCGTTTCTAATTTTTATTGGAGTAAAATTGTCTTTCATCGTGTATCTAATCTCCATGTTTTTGCTTGTACAATTGATTCCTAGTTGGGTTGAAATACCATCGACTAGATCGTTGTAGGTTGTATTATCTCTAAAAAGTATTCCATCAATAATTTTCGTTTTCAATTTCAGAGATCCACGAACATGAATGCCTCAACAATACTGTTATATTGGCCATTTGAAGAAAAAAAACCTCGAAAATTGAAGCTTCAATGGAAGGAATTGATGAAGAAGATGAAGTTTACAAGTTCAGAATTACTAACGTTTATGATCTGAATTTTTTTAAGTAAAATTAGTATAATAGTTGATACGGATTGATCCTCTAAATCCGTTTTATTGGTTAATTTTTCATATTCTACTCCTTTAATCAAGGAAATAAGTTACAACATTTAATTCAAAAGTCACAAATCATGTATCTCGGCCTTGATACACGTATCTGACGGGCCTTGATACATGTATCCCACAATCAAAAATGGTATAGAATGTAATAGCAAAAACTAATGAGATTCCCAGTAATTAGGATCTAAAGTAGGGGGATTTATGTAGTTTACCCAAAAAAAAAGAAGGAAAAATTACATGATTAAGCAAACATATACTAGTTAATTAGTCATCATAGCTATAGTTTTAGTTAATTACTACTCGCGATCAATATTCAATGATAATTACGTAGACTGGGGTTTCGAGTTTGTATAATTCATACGTTGGTATAATTCAAAATTTATATAATATAATATGTGTAACTTTTGTATGATGCAATTTTATATAATTATATAATTTGTATAGTTGTTTAAAGTTCAAATGTTGTGTTTGTATAAATTCGTTATTTCGAGTTTATACAAAAACAACTTAATTATACAAATGTACCCGCGAATTATACAACCCGTGAATTATACAAATGAGGCAGCTTAAACTGTAGCTACCGCCCATAAATATGCAAACTATAACTATGGAGCATCATTAAGTTTATTATAGTAGTTATTTTGCGAAAATTCCCCCCAAAAAATCACCTAATTATTGTATATTAAATTGGTTTAATATAAATATCTAATGTGAATAAGTATTTATCGAATTAATGATCATAAACAATGGATGATTAAGAACACAACCCGATAGACCAATCATTAATGAAATTGATAAAAACAAATAGGGGTTTTGTGGCTGCAATCCATCACAATGGATGATTAAGAACTCAACAAACGTTTTTTTTTTTTTTTTGGGGGGGAGGGGGGGTTGGGGTTAATTTGTCACAATGTATGAATTTAGAATTATCTCAATTTTCGTGTGTATTAAGTCTATAAATTTTTTAAAATATATGTGATTGACTTTGTTTGAGCTCAAATTTTGTGGGTCCTATGGTAACGACCCTATTACATGATACACATTATTTTTTAAAGGCAGACATACTTATTTTGAAGTTTATATGACAGGAAACAAGACTTTAGTTTTATCTCGATTTTCATGTGTATTAGTCCATAAATCTATTTAATTTGTGCAATTGAATTTGTTTGAGCTCAAATTTTATGGGTCCATTAATTTTTTTCTGAATTCCAATTCGTTATGTTATTTTTGTTGAAATTACATATATCAATAAACATACATTTTCAAAAGCAATGTAATATATTGCTTTTTGTATGTTTTATTTCCAAATTATTGAGAAATTTATATTAGAATGCATGTTTTAATTCATATGAAATCGAATATGGAGCATTGTATCATATTTAATTGCGCTATTCAATCTAATTAAGACAGATTTGAAGATGAATTTCGATTAATCGAACAAGTTTTTGATTTGATTAGTGTTGATGAAATGTTAGTGGACTATAATCCTCTCTACACTTGCCAAGTATCTGTTAAATAATTTCTATTTTCGATACGTTTTTACTTGTACAATCACTTCTTATCTAAATGGCTTATACCTAAAACTAAAACTCGACACCCAAAAGGGGTCATATTAATTACTTATAATGCTCCTTTCGTTTCATAATAATGTTTACTTTTAACATGTAATATATCCCTTAAGAAATACCAACTCTTAAAAAAAATAGATATTTGATTATTATTTAATTAATGATATCATTGAAAATTGGACTACTTCAAAAGACTTTTTAGGGATATATAAAATAAGGACAAATTTTATAAAAATAAATTAATACGAAAATGATCACTTATTTTGATCAAAATAAAAGGCTAAGTTATACCCTCTCTTCATTTTTAGTTGTCACGTTACGATTTTCGAAAGTCAAGTTGACTAATTTTTAAAGTTAAATTAGATTACATTAATTTGATATTAACAAAAAATTTAGATATTCAAAAACTAAACGAAAAGTACTATAAATTGCAATTTTGTGCATATCAATATGATGAAATGATACATTATAAAATATTAGTCAAAGTTCTTATCGTTTGACTTTAAAAAAAAAAAATCATGACAACTAAAAGTGAACGGAGGGATACTCATTATGAATTGGAAGAGTAACAATTAATTTTGTACGGTAGAAGTATGTCTCATATACACTGCACTAATTGCTCTAGCAGGAAATATTTTTGCTCTTGGTAATTAGCGTTAATGACTAATCTTCGGAGCTAAAATGATTATCTTCAAAATAAAATTGAATTTTATTAATTTAATATTTAGAATTTGAATATTTAAAAATGGTACGAAAAATAATATAAGTTGCAATTATATATATATATATATATATTGGTCAAAATTCAAGTAATTTGACTTTTGAAAAGTGAAACGTGACAAGTAAAAGTAAACTGTGAGAGTGTTGTGCTGTAAGATGCTTCTTTCTTGACATTAATCCTTCAATTTCTTATTAAAATGATTAACGTCATTAATAATATAGCCTAATTTTACCTTCTCCCACACGTTAAAATGATTATTAATTAACGTCAATTCATTTATTCCCTAAATACTTTAATGTACAAAAACTAATAACCCATGTCCAACCGGCCATTGACAAATTCCAACATCGTTATTAGTCATCAATTTTGCAACAAATAAACTTTACATTAATTTTGACCTAATTACTTGTCCACTTTTTATTTTTTAGTTGTCTATAATTATTTGTCCATTTTAACAAATTAAAAAAGGACAAATTATTTTTACATATTATATCCTCAATTAATTACTTTGAAAAAGGTAAAATTCTTGAAAATCTAATTTTTAATTCATCCACTTCATAATTAATAGAGGTAAAATGGTAAACTCACTATGTCAATCATTATTTTCTTAATATGTGTGTCAATTCAAAAGTAGACAAGTAATTAGGAAGAGAGAGTATTAAGGCTAATTTACTTATTATTTTACAAAATTAAAATGAAATTAATTGTTTTTATCCCATTTTATCCTTATTATTAAATGTTTTTGAAATAAAATTAGCTTGTCTTGTTCTTAAATTAAGTATAATTTATTGGATAGAGATAAAATAAACTTTTATTTATAATTTTCTAAAGGACGTTCAAAATATAAATGATGACTAATATTAAACAAAAAGAAATACTTTTTTATTTTTAAAAAGTTAACGACTAAGTTATTTTAAATTATTAGCCAAATTCATATAGTTTTTACTCTTAAAATAATATTGCATTTAAAAGATACCATTTTGTAGGTCTATTAATACTATCATTTATCCAAAAAGGGACTAAAGGCAGTTTTTGGTCCACAAGAGCTACATCATGCCCTATTTTCTACTGACTACCTTTATAGACTGCCTTCAATAGAATGATCAAAGTCAATATTTATCATCTACCTCTGCTCAACCAATAGGAATTAATTGTGGATTGTTAAAATAACTAAAAATTTCAAAATCTTGGACCACTTTTTAGTTTCTGTTGATTAATATTGTCTCCTCCATTAGTCCATCATCTCATGACATGGAAAGTTGTGGAGGATACGAATTAGGAGAGCGAGAGCTGAAATCACTTGATGTTTTTCTTTTGGTGATGTACGAGTTGCAATGATCATATGTCTTAGATAGAAAGTTGTGGAGGACACAATTTAGGGTAGTAGTGTGTTGACTTGCTATCTGTCCATACTAGTAGTCATAGTATTGCTCATGTAGTTTCTTATCCTTTGATTTGTTGTTATCTTCTTTTTTTTCTTGTACTTTGATTATTGCCGTATTTTGCTTTGTTATGTTTTCACTTCTGTTAATTTTTTCTGGACTGCGGGGTCTATTGGAAACAATCTCTCTACCATCTGAGGTAGGGGAAAAGTCTAGGTACACTCTACTCTTTTGACACCCAGTTTGTGGGACTATACCGGATATATAGTAGTTGTATGTATACTCAATAGGTTTCCTAATGCGTATAAAAAGTTTGAGCCAAAATTATTGAAGTCGATTGAACGCATTACATCTACACATCCAACCCTAAGGTTTAATTAGTAGGCCGAAGTCAACTCATATCTATGCTAGTGGAAGGTAATGGTACTCTATAAGATGATAGAGGGGGTATGTCAGTTGATTCGAACACCACGCTCATGTTTTTGAAAAATAGCAAATTCATTTACTGAGATAACTTCTAAGGTTCAATAATTTCAAGATTGAAACATTCAGTATGAGTAGCTTGGCTCCTGTGTACAACTTGCCTAGTGGCTTGCTGCTATCACTCTTGAATTGTCATTTCAACAATTGGAATTTTGTGCATTAAGCACCTTTACAAAAAAGAACACACAAAAGAACAATGGCAACAAGTCAATTAGTCCTATCAAGAAGATGCTAAACACAACATAGTGAAGATTGTATCCTTCTAGGAAGAAAAAGAATTTCATTCCAGCTATCGATAATTTACAGTTTACACTAACAACAATTGTACACGAATCGTACTATTCTAACCACCAAAACTTATCGTCTAGTGATACTGGTAGGAGTCTTTCGCGGACATATGCGTGGAATGTCAATCTGATTTAATGGAGTCTGGACTACTAGAGATGCTGTCATGGCTATCATCACATGCAGCCAAAGCTCTCTCTAAATTAGAAACAATATCAGTCATTGTAAGTCTATGTTTTCCTTCCAAATGCACGCAATGCATTGCAGTATATGCCACCAATTCTACTCCCTCGGCTTCCGTCAGCTCTGGCAGCCCAACTCTGGGATCTAAAATCTTGTTTAATTCTCCAGCCATAATTGCTGGTACTGCAAAGTCGACAACACTCATTGGCATGTCCCCGTTTTCACTAGTTTTGAATAAGGCTCTTTTTCCGGTCAAAAGTTCTAACAATACCACCCCAAGTCCATAGACATCACTCTTTGCTGTCAAGACATTTAGGCCATAGTACTCTGGATCGATATACCCAACTGTGCCTGCTGCCCTCATTGGCTGACTGAAACTGGCATCAGTCTCCGGCCACATTAAGGATAATCCAAAATCTGACACTCTTGCGATCCAATTTGCATCGATCAAGATGTTGGATGACTTGATGTCCCTGTGAATTATAGGTGGAACTGCATAATTGTGAAGGTATTCGATACCACGAGCAGCATCTAATGCAATCTTGATCCTCATTTTCCAAGAATTGACTACACTACTACTCTTCTCCACGTTGTTCTTATCGTGTAAATGATCATAAAGCGCCCCATTTTTCATGAACTCATAAACCAAGAGTCTTTCATCCATTTCTTCACAATAACCAACCAATCTAACCAAGTGTTTGTGGTGTAGTCGGGACAAGAACGTCAACTCTGATTCAAAAGCCCTCTCTTTCTCCAAGAACTTCTTCATCTTTGGACTCATTTCACCACGCTTAATTGCAACCTCACGGCCATCAGCTAATTTTCCCTTGTAAACAACCCCAAAGCCGCCAGCACCAATCTTATTCTTTAAAGAGAAATCGTCCGTAGCTGCAACAAGCTCCGAAAACATAAACTCCTCTGCCCTATCACCATGTATAGATGAAGTTCCACTCCTTTGACGCCTCATTAACCTCGACCCTTGGCGCCTAAGAGTAGATGATCTTGAAACTTGACCACTACTATAACATTGTTGAGCAACATTATTAGTACTAATAGTAGGTTGAACAGAATTATGAATTTTCTTCTTCCCAAAACAAACACCAGTCCATAAACAATACACAACAGTACAAATCCCTGCAATAGCCCCAACTGATCCAACAATCACAAAAGCTAACAATCCCTTTCTCAACCCCTTAGATGGCGACGATGGCACCAAAATAAACACCAGTGGTGATGGTGGTGGAGCTACTCCAACCGAAAAATCACAAGGCCTACAAATATTACCATTCCCCGAACACAACGTTTTCGATTGAGGATATACACCACAATCACATACATTCTGAACACATGGACCTGGAAGAATCATTGGTAAAGGAAGCTCAGTACCTGAAGGATACATATTACTACTCCAACCAGGTCCCCAGCAGATAACAGAAAAATTCCCACTTGTTAATCCACAAGTAAAATCTAAACCAGCAACAATTGATTCAAATGAAAGACCTTTCGTTAAATTCGTCGAAAATTCACCATTCCCACCCCAACAAACAACTGTATAATTCATTCTAAGAACCCCACAAGTATGATTAACCCCTAAAGCTAATCCATTATACTCATAAGCAAAATTAGATGGAATATCTAATTGACCATTTTCATTATGTCCTTTGCAAATTAAAAAACCTGTAGAATTCATCCCACAAGCATGTTTTCCACCGGCAAATATATTCACTACTGTAATATTAGCAAAACCAGATTGAATAGCTGAAGCAATATCGCTATTGTTTCCCCAGCATACAACTCTATTTGAACTTTTCAAAATTCCACAAGAAAATCCCGACCCAGATGAAATTGACATGAATTGTGACGACCCATTTGGTTGTTTCGCCAAATTCGAGTCATCTCTCCAACATTTAACATTTTGGGTACCGTTTGTTAAGCCGCAAATTTGAGTATCTCCCATTGTAACAGTTGTTAACAAAGTTGAGTAACTGAAGAAAAGTCTTTTGGGTTGAAAACTTGAGTTCCAGAAGAGAAGGGAAAACCCACCGGTTTCTACGCCGGTGAAGCCGTTAACTCCGCCGGCGATGGAGTTAAAGGAGACGTTAGGAGGTATGGGGATGGGTGCTGTCTGATTTTCTGACCAGCATTGGATTCTTTGGATTGGTTGAGAAGCTACTATGCCGCAGATAGTGATGTTGGCGCCGTAAGCGACGGCCAAAGTGATGGCGGAACTACCGAGGGCATGAGAAAATGGTAGTAAAACAGAAATTATCAGTGAGATAACGGCGGTGATGATAACGGCGCCGGCGCCGGCGCCGGAGATGGGTAACGTCATCAGAAATTTTCTCTCATTTGTACCGAAAAAAAAGAAGCAATTGTGGATTGTACTGTATATGTGTGAACAGTAGCTAAGCTTACAAGAATTTTAATTTATAGAATTCAAATTCAAAATATAAAGAAATGGTTGGAAGGACTTTTTTTTTTTTTTTTTTAAGACACTATTTGGTAAGAAGGAAAATGTTTTCTTCGAAAAATGATTATCTAGAAAATGTTCTCTCTGGAAAAAAAATAAGTGAATTTATTACTTATTTTTTAATGTTTGTAGATAAGTAAAAATATATTATTCCAAAAATATTTATATGTTATATAGCAAAATATTCTGAAGACAGGAATCAGGATGAGTCGAGTAGGTGTTCAAAGGTGGCGGGTGAGATGTTCAAGGGGTGGAGGTTGGGGGCTAAGGTGGGTGGAGATAAACAATGAACTTGGAATGTCACTTATGCACATTATTTTTCCTAATGTAAGGAATAGATCTTCACGTACTTGATCATTTTCCTTTTTATAGGCATATTAAGAAATTATAAATAAGAAGATAATTTTACTAACTCATCGTTTAAAAAAACTTGTTGAAAATTTAACAAATAAATATCTTTTCACTTATGCACATTATTTTTCCTAATGTAAGGAATAGATCTTCACGTACTTGATCATTTTCCTTTTTATAGGCATATTAAGAAATTATAAATAAGAAGATAATTTTACTAACTCATCGTTTAAAAAAACTTGTTGAAAATTTAACAAATAAATATCTTTCAAAAAGAATTGATTACAAGAGTAACGATAGGAAAAATTTAATTAATACCTTCTTGATTTAGTAAGGTGGACAATTAATATGAGACTATTATTTTTGTAAGATGATCAACTAATATGGAAGGAAGGAAGTAAAAGTTTAAGCTTAAAAGTTTTATCCATACGTAATGTAACTTTTAGAAAACCCTTGACAATCTAGTTTTCTAGGCATGTAGCTTTTATAACCCTCTTTCCCTTTGATCCTTTATACATTCATTATCCTATTCCAATTCGATTAAGATAATTTTCTCACTTTTAAAAAACTAGTTTTGTACTAGATTTTTTTTCAAACATATGAAATTGAAAAATATTTTTAAAAAAGATTTTTCCCTCTCTGCTAAACGGCAAATGCACAATTAATTATTCACTCCATTTCAGTTTATTTTTCTTACTTTTCTTTTTAATACGTTTAGTAAAAAAAAAAATCATTTTGTTTATTTAATTTCGATTTTTATATTATTTAAAATTTACATAAAAAGTTTTCTTAAAATATTATTTTCTAAAATTGTACTATCAAGTAGGAATCAGCCAAACCAATTAAAATGAATTATCACAAATTAATTTGAGACAGGGACGGCTACGCCATTATGTTTGAATCGTTCTTTTTTGCAGAGTTCATATATGGTACATATCATAAATGCAACGTTGCCATATGTCTCTCTCTTTCTCTTTTTCTTTTTCTTTTTAGGTAATTTTATACCTTTTTTCGTTTTAAATAATATGTCGTGATATTCACGTTCTTTAGAAAATGATAGTTCTTTCGTTCTATTATATGTGACGTTATTTAACTTGATATGATATTTAAGAAAAAATGAAGTTCAAACTTATGGTTTAGAACAGTTCTTTGATATTTATGTAGTTATAAATCATTTCATTAAGAATAACATAGAATTTTTAAAGTGAAAATTATTTCTTATTATAATAACAAGATTATTTTTTTTTTGGAATGTAGGATGGAAGGAATATTACTTTTTTTTAATTAAATTTATGCATTTATTTTTCTTTTTAGTTTATTTTAAAAAATAAATAAATTTTGTAACTCTTTAATTTAAATTTTTTATAAGATATATTCAAGAACATAAGATTAAAGCATATTTTGGTACACTTTAGTATTTTACATATATTTAATTTTAAAATCACAAATTCAAAAGTATTTTCTTTTATGTTTTTAAACTTCGTATGAAGTTAAAACTATACAAACAAATTGAGACGAAAATAGAAATTAGGTAGGAGTTTTAACTATTTTACTCTTTATTGATATCTGAACAATCATAGCATCACTTCATATTTGAGGTGTTTATAGTCTTCAACAACAATAATTATAAGCATGAAATGAGAAGAAGAAAACTAATTACTTTTTTCTTGAACTTTAAAGAAAACAAATCATTTGAAATAACTATTTTTAAAAAGCACGACAAATAAATTTAGACGAAAAGAATACATCTCAAAATACTTAAACTTTTTTTTATCAAAAATATGTAGCTTAGACTACTTGTCACTTTAGAAGTTTAAAATAAAATCAATTACTAGGAATCATTTGATAGCTAATTAAAATTACATATGTATTAATAATACAGGTATTAGTTATACGATATATATATATATATATATTTCGAAGAAGCCATAGTTGACGAAAGGATAAGATGGTGTGTGAACGTTGACATATTTTATATCTATAATAAAGTGTGAATTGAAATGGGAAAGTACTTAAGAAGATATTGTGGATCCAAGAGTAAATATATACCACATAGAGCAGTATGGTTGTTATATAGGGCCACCGGCCACATTATCACACAACATTTCTTTAATTAGGAAAGGCGCAGGCAAGTATCTGATAGAATAGTCGATGTGCATATAAAATTGACTTAGGTACTACCATAATGACAAAAAAAAACTTATTTAATCCCTTATAATCATTAAAAGTTCAAATTTTAATAATTTTAGTAATTATTTAGTTAGTTTTATCCTATGTTATGCATCATGAACTTGTGGTCAACTGGCCTGTTTAAGAAAATAATCATAGTAATTGGACTATAGCTTATGCATACCTCGATTAATTTTACGAGGTATGTGTTATCTCCCACTAGCACAGATATTGAATAACTCTATCCGCTGAAGTTTCAATAGATGGAAGAAATCGTCTAATGATAACATTTGCCTCCACTATGATTTACTTTGTCCTCAACTAGCTTTCATATGGAACCTCAAGTCTCAAACACGATCAATGGCGTTGAAGGTCCATTCCTCTGCCAGAGAATATCCATGATATGCTTTTCCTTGACCCGAGGGTCTATCAGAAACAACCTCTCTGTCTTCCAAGGTAGGGGTAAGTATAAGATCTACATACACTTCACCCTCTACAAACCTCACTTATGGAATTACATTGTGTTTGTTGTTGTTCTTATTGCCTCCGGGGATTTTAGAAGTTGAAAAAAATACAAAAAATACTTACCAAGACAAGGAATAATAATATTGTAGCCACTAAAAATATTAAGAACTGAGAAGGTTAAAACAAATTAACACTTAGCAAATGCTAAAGAGAGCTACTAATCATCAAATCTATACATAAATTTTGGTCAGGGAAGGTAGGTATAAATATTGGAAATCACTGTTTATAATAATTGCACATACATGAATTTCTTCTCACAATTGAAAGCTATAAACAAAGTTACAAAAGAATCTAATAGATAAGAAATTTGGGTCTTCATAGATGGCGTCTACTCCTGAACAAATAATCTATACAAAAATTTGTTCTTCCAGCGAAGAGGTACTAACCTTGTACAACAAATTTAGAGTATAGGTGTGTTGCGCCTCCTGGAATAGCAAAAAAATTTACTTGCCAAAGATCATCGTACATTTGCGAATTCACAAGTAGGGATTCCATGGTTTTGAAACCATTCGGGCATTTGAAACCTTTCGCGAAGCACAGGCCTTACATCCTTCTGCTCAGATAGATGCTTGAGAAGTGGAAGGATTTCTTCCAAAAGCTAATGTAGAAGATGAAAACGAAGTTAAACTCACACAGTCACGGGGATCAAAGTAGACTAAAATTTGAGGAATAGACCTCATTATTATTTTCTGATCATTCCTTGTACCTTGTTGTCATGGGGCTGTCCAGGAGAAAATGAAATGCACGGGATTCCATTTAAAGGCTGTAACAAGAAACTGAATGGGTTGTTATCAACAATGACAACCCGGCATAAATCCTCTGATATGCATGACAGATCCTTCACGTGCTCCCGGAATTCCCTGTGATGCGCATTTTGTGTCAAATTTACCATATTTATATTATATATTATACAGAAACAACAGTGACTTTGAACTATTTGAATTGTTATAGGTGGCATCAGCGAAAACCAGAGTTCACAAGGAGAAACAATCCAAGGGAAATCAACTGATAGTAATAGGGGTGTTCATAATTCGGTAAAAACCAGACTACCAAAATGAACCAAGCAAACAAAACACGAAAGAGGAAAACCATACCATACCGAATTTAATTAGGTTTGGTTCTGATATCCTATTTCAAGAAACCAAAAATACCGAATTAATATTTTCCAAATCCGTACTATCATCTGTAGTTTAAATTTCACACAGAATAAACCATATAAAAAAAACAAGAAACACATAACACGATGGTCAGAAACCGTCATCATTAATGGAATACCCATGTAAAATAAAATTAAAAACTATTAAGCAACGAATTTAGAAAATGTCATATATTTATCAAACCTCAACATCCACATGTATTCGACGTGGCTGTCACGTCATCCAAACTGTCCATTTTAAGGTGATGTCAACATGGTGTGCCATATCATCATATCCATTGGCTTATCTACGTCCATGTTGCTCCCACCTCAACATGTCGTAGTGCTGTTTTCTTTCCACATGGCTTTTTTGAAAGGATTGCCCACACAAAATTCTACAATAATCTGACTTCATTTATCCATGAGTGTTTATTATTGACTATAGGTGGCAATATTCAAGTCAATACCACCCTAGTATTCATCATGGTGTTCAAATGATAATGAACTTATTCATACCATCATGTAGTGTAAAGTGTAAACTCAAACAGAACAAACAAAAAAGAGAACATTTGAACTGATGTCAGTATGACAACATTCAACAACATTTCCACCTCATCTTTAACAACATACTCAATGAAATCCCACAAGTGGGATCTAGGGAAGGTAGAGTATATGCAGAAAG